GAGATCAGGGATGTCCAACAGAGGAACGTGCACGTCGACTGGGATGTGCTCGTATCCAGTTGTATAAACAGCAGGATCGATGCTGTCTGCCTTGTTGCTGAAGTCTTTGCGGAAAGACTTCGCAACACTGCAGAAGTGGAGAAAGGCATTGGATTATTGTCTTTAATCGTGTTTCGAGAGAGTAGAACATACTGGTCCGCTATCGGCAGAAGACGTAGTGCGCTGCGACTTGACCATTCGGGGATTAAGCGTTGCCAGCTGGTATCCTTGACATTATGCACGATGCATACGAGCTTGAACTTGTGCGTGTCATCCCGAGCATCCCACGCAGCCAATAGTTCCGCATGCCAATGAGGGAGGCTTCCAAAAAATAATTCAGTATGCATTAATATACACAAGATGAGAATGTTACCCACTCGATTTCGCATGTGCCGAGGACCACCATGTCAATCCCTCCATCGCCCGGCTGCCCGACAATATGTGGTACCAGTGCCTCAGGCAGTCCACGAACGCCGTGGTATAGCTGCAGCCTGTCGACGACTGACTGGAAACCAAAGCCGAATGGAGGTGCGAACACGTGAATGGGCCCGTCAGAATTTTCGCCGTCGTACTTGGGCTGCAAGACGAGCTCTAGCGTCCATACCAATGCCATATAGACATCGAAATGATGGACGAATGTCGATGCGACAGCAACATTGTGCCTTTTTCGGAGGGGCAGCTCTGGTACGGGCTGATTGTGAAGAGAATGCGATGTGTTTGTCGAGTCGTTGATCGGGTGCCACCACTCCTCAGTTGCCTTAGCCGGTATACTGGATTCTGGGAGGAGGGACCAGAAGGCTGCAAGGAACACTACCACAGCGAGGCCAGCGAGTAGGAGACGTCTCGGTACATAGGAGGCCATAGACGAGAAAGATGAGCAAGCGCAGGTTTCATGAGAACCTTGTTACGTCGCTAGTTTGAGACTAGTAAATTCCATGTTCGGCCCCGTCCCGCCCTAGGCTCTCCATACGCGGAAGATAGTCGTTCCGCCCAACCCTTGTCGTACATTGTACTGTGAGGCCTTGAGAATTGAAAACACTGCAGATATTGCATTTCAAGGCAGGCAATCAGCGCTGAAGTAGCACTGCTGATATCAAGTGGTATCATCATCTCGGAATAAGGAATGGTCGAAACTTTACCTGAGCTCGGAGACATGATGTATGGCTGTTGGATAGATAGGATATGGGCTTCAGAGAAATTTTGTGAGCGCAGGATATAAGGGTGTAACGTAGAATGCGGATTCAAATGCCCGCGGACTTCGGCATGTGTAATAAGTTATATTTAGCATGATTCCTAAGGGAAGCACTGACAGAAACACGAATCCGAGATATAATATGGATACATGCGCAGGACACCCAGCCTTTGTAAACGTCTCGTTTGTTTTGTACCAGCACATTCGAGCTGCACAGCTGCGAGTTGCATGCTGAAATGCAGTTGGAGCCTGGTAAGATAAGATAAGATAAGATGACCGATATGATCGACGCTCGATCCGAGCTGCTCGACAGGCTCGACGGCCACGATGATCTCGTTCGAACACCTTTTTTACGTTCTGCAACTTCACGAATGATTGCATCGTGTTGCAATTTTCGATTGTCTGTGAGCCTCGCGACAGGGTTTCGACCGTGACGGACATGCCATAATAACGCTCGGTCTGCATCATGTCCGTATCAAAGTCACGCATGCCGAGTCTCCGTCGAAGATGGCCGTGTGGTAAACACGAACCTACCTAAATCCACGCCCCGCAGGACATAGGGTGGCGGAACATATGTCTAGAACATGTGTCTTGCGCGCGTGCCGGGAAGACCTTCTTATCTTAGCTCCTTTATCTATAGCCGGCTGGAGTGGGAACTAGCTATGTTGAAGTTGCGTTGGATGTGACGAACCATCCAGGGTCAATCCTTGTCCTCCCCATCATCAATGTCGATGCTCCCTGCAGCGCGGTCGTCCACATCGGACGATGCGTCCTCGCGAGCAGTAGACATCGATCTGGACGACACGGGCATATTCATCCCCGCAGAGCCTTCCTTTTTCAGCACGCTGTCCCCTTCTGTTCCGAACACCAGCGCGTACAATTCATTCATTGGTCCTATTACCCCAAGTGAAGCAGCTTCTCGTCAAATCTTTGACAGTGACGACAGGTCCCAGATACCGCTGGAAGACAGCGAGAAGGTCGAACAGCCTGCTTCCTCTCCCTTTGCAGATAATCCTGGCAAGCCCACTCGCCGCCGTCTCGCCGTGATGCTGTTGGGCGGAACTATTGCGCTCATTGTTGTCGTGCTTGCTGTCATTCTTCCCGTCTATTTCATAATTATTAAAAAGCATGCTACGGGCGGTCAAAGTGCATCCTCTGGATCGGCATCCAACACTGCATCGCCTACTGCTGCCATCACAGGTGGAGATGGATCGGTCATTACAACCGCAGACGGGGTGACCTTTACATACAGCAACTCATTTGGAGGATCCTGTAAGGTTTCATGACTGCCAAGTTCTCGTGCCGAGTCATTGAACTTCGATCGATTCGCAGGGATCGACGATCCGACTGACCCGTACAACAACGGCGCACACGCGCAGTCGTGGACACCTGCGCTGAACGAAACTTGGGACTACTCGACCGATCAGATCCACGGAGTCAACCTCGGTGGGTGGCTCGTGCTCGAGCCGTTCATCGTCCCCGCTCTGTTCGAGAAGTATCAAAACTCGACGCCGAGCCCTGCGCTGCCAGGCGGTGCTGTGGTCGATGAGTGGAGTCTCAGCGTCGCGATGCTCAATGACACGAGCGAAGGCGGGGGGATCCAGCAGATCGAGGAACACTACAAGACGTTCATTGTACGTCCCATGATGTCACAGAGTACGTCGCTTCTACAGCTGACCTTCCTTCCCAGACAGAGCAAGATTTTGCACAGATGGTCGGTGCCGGTATCAACTGGATCCGTCTACCCGTTCCCTACTGGGCTATTGAGACCTGGCCTGGAGAACCTTTCCTGGAAAGGACTGCGTGGACCTACGTCCTACTCGCGCTCAAGTGGGCGCGCAAGTACGGGCTACGTGTGTTTCTCGAACTGCACACCTGCCCCGGCTCGCAAAATGGCTACAACCACAGCGGCCACCTCGGTACCATCAACTTCCTGAACGGACCAATGGGTATTGCGAATGCCGAACGCATGATGGGGTACATACGCGTTGTAGCGGAGTTCATCAGCCAAAAGGAGTATACCGACGTCGTACAGATGTTCGGGGTTATCAATGAGCCACTGATGGGCATTATTGGCTTCGACCAGCTGACAAGATTGTAGGTGTCGGGCTGGTCTCGCTTGATGTATTTGCTCACGGCGTCTCGCAATAGCTACTTGCAGTCGCATGACATGTTTCGTCAAATCGTGAGTCGTCCGGATAACAGTATACAATATCTGACATCCATTAGACTGGTATTGGACAAGGCGCATACATGGTGATTCACGACGGCTTCCAAGGTCTTACTCCGTGGAAAGACTTCCTCCCTGGTTCTGATGTGAGTGGCACTTGTCATTTATCAATGTTCGGCACTACTAATCGTACACAACAGCGGATTATCCTGGACACTCATCCATATGTCGTATGCTTGTTCCACTTGTATCTATCTTCGGTTTCGTAATTTGATGGCATGTACCTACATAGGCATTCGGGGGAAATCTCGATCAGCCCCTCGATTATTGGCCGCCCGCTGCCTGCCGGGCCTTTCAGACCAACCAGTCGCAGTTTGATTTCGGGATCACGCTGACGGGCGAGTTCAGCGCTGCCATCAATGACGTGCGCATGTGCCTATATTTCATCATCTAACTAGAGTCTTACCGGCATTGTGCTACAGTGCGGACAGTGGGTCAAGAATATCGGCACTCTGCCCAGCTACCCGAACTGCACGCCGTGGGACGATTGGCAGAACTGGACGCAGGACATGAAGGACGGCATCAAGCTGTTTACGATGGCAAGTATGGATGCCATGCATTTCCCTGGCTATTTCTTCTGGACTTGGAAGGTCCGTGTGTCCGCCGTCGCTCGTTCGGTGCGCGCTGACGCAGCGAACCACAGATCGGTAATTCTTCGGTGACAGGCAAAGTTGAAGCCCCCTTCTGGTCGTACCAGCTCGGCCTCGAAAACGGTAAGCTAAACAAGCCCATCTGCTCTCTCAACTAAATCCGTCTATAGGCTGGATGCCGACCGATCCCCGGGAAGCTGTAGGCACCTGCGATTCCCTAGGTATCCTCGACAATTTACCTTTCAACGGCTCCTACCAGTCCTGGCAAACAGGCGGCTCCGGCGCTGGCACCATCGCCGCCACGGCCGTTGCGTCGTTCAGCCAGTATCCGCCCCCGGCGCTCTCGAACGTAAACGGCGCGGACCCCACTCTGCTTCCGCAGTACACATCTACGAGCGTGGTGCCAACATTGCCGACGCCGACCTTCACAGCGGCCACAACGACTGGGGGAGACGGCTGGGCTGATCCCCAGGACACGTCGCTTGCTGCCGCACCTATACCGGGCTGCATATATCCTGATGCATGGGGAGCACCTGCACAGTCGACGGCATTCCTGTGCGGCGCTGCTGCTGCGTCTGCGATGGCCACGATTCCGCCTGCTCGGCGCCGTGTGTGAACAATGTCCAAAACCGTGGAATGCACATTTCGTTGTGAATAGCCTGGACCTACATTTATATCATATATCATGCTCAGAGAATGCTTCATATCCTCATTACCACACAGAACACTTGCTACATACTGGATACTTACGATCACGAACATTTACAGAACGGAATGGAATATTTGCTGGTCTTCAAATGTCACTGTCTTATTACTTCTTATTACCCGATATTCCCTTGTTATCTCACATAGTATATATACCGCTGCTTAGAAGAACAACGGAAGATTTCTATGATACTCGTATGCTACTCGCGACTTCTCAACGACGCATACACATTGCGGATTTTGATCAACGTCTTCGTTCCGCTTCGTACACCTCCCACCCCAGTTCTTCCAATTTATCGACCTTCACGAGCACTTCACGCTCGAGATTTTTGAGGTATTCATCCATGGCAGTGACGAGACGCGGCATGCCGGCCGACAAGATGCGCACAGCGAGAAGACCTGCATTCGTGCCGTTGTTGATGGCCACGGTCGCAACCGGTATACCTCTCTACATGTGTAAGTATTGTGAGCGAATGAGATATAAGGAAGCGGGGAGTGCAGAACATACCGGCATCTGCACGATACTGTGCAAAGAGTCGACGCCGTCCAACGAGCTGCCCTTTACAGGAACACCAATGACAGGCAGCGCAGTCATAGCAGCGACCATACCCGGGAGGTGGGCAGCGCCACCCGCGCCTGCAATGATCGCCCGCAGACCTCTCGACGCCGCCGAGCGCGCGTACTCGACGAGGCGATCGGGCGTGCGGTGCGCGGAGACGATGGTGAGCTCGTACGGGACGTGGAAGCGCGTGAGGATGTGTGCAGCGGGAAGCATCACGGGCAGGTCGGAGTCGGAGCCCATGATGACCCCCACGAGTGGCTGCGTGTGTGAGTGCCCTGGGGTGGGCGGGAGCGGTGCGTATAAACGCGTCTCCTGAAGGTCGCTGCCTCCAGGCAGCTTTTCGAGCAGCGGGCGGAGTCGCGCGCGCACCTCTGCATCCGAACCTGCGACGACTGTGACGTGCCCCATCTTGCGGCCCTTGCGGCAGTCGGGCTTCCCGTAGAGGTGCACGCTGGCGCCTGGGACGGTGAGTGCGAAAGAGGCGAAGGCGGTAATGTCCTCCATGTGCGGTGAGGCGCCAATGAGGTTGAGCATAGCAGCAGAAGGGACTTTGAGCTCGGTGGAACCGAGGGGAAGGGAGAGGATCGCACGCAGGTGGTTCTCGTATTGTGAAGTTTCGCAGGCTTCGATGGTGTAGTGGCCAGAGTTGTGAGGGCGGGGAGCGATCTCGTTGAGATACACGGAACCTGTATGGAGGCATCATGAACAGGAAGTATTACACAGCGAAGAGGTACTGTACCATCTTTCATGAGGAACATTTCTACTCCAAAGACACCAGCACCCTGTAATGTCGTTACCGCTGCTTCGGCAACAGTGCGAGCACGAGCAGGAACGCTAAGATCCTGGCTTCGCAAAGGCGCAAAGACCAAGTGGCATATGTTATTCTTGTGCACGGTCTCCACAACTGGGTAGGATGAAACTTCGCCAGATACTGAGCGGACGACGACCACCGCGATCTCCTTGACGAACGGAACCCACTTCTCCGCATACAGAGGTCGGTTGCCCAGAGCAGCGATGGCTTCTTCTGCTTGCGAAAGGTCGCGCACCACGAAGTTCCCCCGACCGTCATATGCGAGCGTACGACTCTTTAACATCAGAGGAAGGCCGAGCTTTGCTGCAGCCTCGTGAATCGACTGAACGGTTGACTCTATCGACATGAACTCGGAGACAGGACACCCATGGGCACGGAGATGCTCTTTCTGCACGAACTTATCTTGAATAGTCCTAATAGTCGAAGGACTGGGATGCACACCCATTGGCACGGTAGCCTCCACCTCCTCGAGTACAGCGACGTCGACATGCTCAATCTCCACTGTGAGAACATCGACCTTCGCAGCGAGCTCCCGTATTTTGGCGGGGTCGGTGAAGGCGCCATCGACGTGAGATAGATGGGGTGCACGCGGGGCGACGACCTGCTTGGCAGGAGCGTTCTCACCGACGTCGAGGATTACCACATCCACATTAAGTAGTGAGGCCGATGCCGCCAACATGCGACCAAGCTGGCCACCTCCTGGGTGACATGTTCATATCATGATTGAGCGGAGAGTACATCATGGATAGGAGAAGTGAACTGAAAAGAGAACGGGTCAGCGATTCACCTGATGAAATGTACGAGCAAATAACCCACTCCCACCTAATATCCCTACTACCTTGTCCATCCTATACGTGGAATAGGCTAAAACAAGCAATGTAGAAGAGCACGAACCCACAGGCGCTTATGTAGGCGGACCAAATTTTGCACAGCTGAATTGCCCAAGCGCCCAAGCGAAGCGCTCCTTGACGTCGACCACAACACGACGCGGCGAACTCGATGTCTCCACCACCAGCCAAGGCATCTGCACCTAGGAGGCGAAACAGAAAAAGAAAGAGGCGTGTAGCTTCGTCCTCTGAATCCTCATCTTCAGACTCGTCCTCCGAGTCTGACTCCCCTGCACCTAAGGTGGTCAAGAAAGTTACAGTGCAAGCTCCTCCTGAAGAATCCTCGAGCTCGGATTCATCATCTGATTCCGAGTCGGACTCGGACTCTGAGACTAAGCCTATAAAATCTGCAGGACCATCACATATACCCGTTGCAGTCACTTCCCAACGACCCTCACGCTCACCTACCCCTCCTCCATCCGCTATCCCATCCTTTATTCCTTCAAAGAAAAAAGACGACAGCCAAAATGAACAAGTTCTGAAAGACAGGTTCAGAAAGTTCTGGATGTCATCTGTCGCTGACTCGTTCAAAGACGATCTCGAGGAAATTCGTAAAGTAAGCAAAACTAATTCGCATTCATGCGCTCTTGTCGGTGCTCAAGGGCTGGGCCTTTTAGGAACCTAACTTGACCACATCACGTCTGGCGTTGCTAATCGACTCGCTGGCTGCTGGAGGGGAGGTTTTCTCGTCCAAGGTAGACAACAATGATATGAGTGAGATGGACATCGTTATGGAGCATTACACATGACTGTCTGCCTTTCACCCAATAATTTTCTGGCGAGAGCACGGTATGCATTGGGGCTATACGCTAAGAAGTGAGCGAGTGTTGATGTGTTGATATGTCTTCAGACCACCAGTTTTATCTTGAGCGCCACGGTGCCTCGAGGATAATCTGTCGCAAGACTGAACAAGAATTTTTTTGCATGTGCTTAATCGATGGGCTTGCTGGGTGTGACTCGGTCTGTATCGTTGTCGAGGTCGTGATTTCCCGCAGTGTCGCTTCAGCCTGCGGGCTCAATGCTGGTGCTCTTGTGCGTTTCCGGTTTTTCTGCAAAAAAAAGCTTACTTTGCTCACTTGCTCATTAGTATTGCCACAGAAATTTATAGAAGACTCGTCCACAGCTCTAGCGTAGAGCCATGTATTCGCACTCTAGCGCCGATTGCGGCCATTTCATTGCACTTCCATCGAGGAATACCACACATTCACATTGATATTACGGTTCGTCCATCACGTCTCAATGGGCAATACCAGGTATCAGTACTTGACATGGTTTACGCCACCAACTATAAAACTAAGCGTTACCGCTGCTGAGGACAACATCGTAAGACCTTACGCAATCCCGCACGACTCTCACCTGCCACACATCTTTGCCGATCAGACTACGACTGGGAAACTGGTTCGATTATGTGTACATAATCCTTCCCACGTACAGCGTGGGACTTGACCACCATCGATGGTAGCCAACGTACATCCACGCCCTATATCCCACTGAGCAGCCATATCTTTCCTTGCGTGCAACAGTGATATTCAGGTCTATTCCTGAACAATTGTTCTCACCAAGGTATGGTGAGGTTCCACCTCTCATCACCTCTGTGTCTCAACTCATTTGCGTATCCTCCGGAGTCATGAAACACCGCTTTGAACAGTTCCAAGCCACCGCGCACAATGTGACTGTGGTCGGCGTGCCTCCCCTGCCTCCCCTGCGCAAAGTGGTATCGACGCTGCGGCCATTGTAGGATGGGGCTACGTCACTGGGAACTTCAGTGCTGTGGATGCTCCTGCAGCGCTCATCATGGGCCGTGGACAGCTGTCATTACTATGACACCCAGGAGCGTTGTAACTTAGTATCACTGAGAACAGTTTTATCGTGATCGCTACTACTCTTTGTGTCGTTATGCGCCCCTTAGCAAGGTCGGACTTCATCTTTCCGCAGACCCAGTCGAGAAAAGTGAGCAAGATAGTTACATCTCTACACTGTCTGCTCGAAGCAGGTGTGGGAACGTCTGATTCGCAGCCTGGCGCTAACATTTATAGATTATCAAAGAGCCCTGTCAACGTTTGGAGACAACGTACATCAAACGGGGATTTGAAAAGGATGCGCAGCCGATGGTAAAACGCCCTAGAAAGACGGTCTTGCCTCAACGGGAGCGGAACAGACATGTCCTGCCTTCATGCTGTTCGGTAGACGGGCGTTGTGCGTCAAGATACTGATCCACTGGATGTGGACGTACAACAGGCTCCTAGAACCGGGCACCAGGTCTGTTGCCACTCACTTGTACCCGCATGATGCGTCCCTTAGAACGTCCTTTGAAGCAGCTCAATGGACTGCTTGGGATGCTGAGACGGATACCACGCTCATGTGATGCGATGGCTCAGAAATCATAACGTGATAGAGTGCGCGCAAGCAACGTTTGTAGAGCATGGGGACGCTGGTCGATCGCGGTGCTTGAGCGTGAGTAGTTCCGGAGACCGCGCAATTTGCGCTGTCCACTCAGCTGCCAGCAGCCGTACGCAGTTGAACCGCCTTTCTGCTTTTTTTGCAGGGGCTAGGCTTGTTATAGATGAACGTTTCAATGAATGATTCCGTGGGTTCGGTTGCCTAGCTCTGGAAGTCGGATGTCTTCTTTTGACACCCCGATATATAAGTTGCAGTGAACAACTCATTCCTCACCCCAATTATCTTCTCCTTCCCCTCCTATCTACAGATTTTTTCGACATCTAAAATGCGTCTCTCCGCTACTACTTCCAGTCTGGCTTTCGCTGTCCTCGCAGCCGCGCAGGATGCCACCGTACGCACTCATCTATTTCTCCTTTGTAACATTGTCTTGACCTCGTCCGCACTGTAGATTCAAGTCGGTAAAGGCGGACTGTTGTTCACCCCCTCGTCTATCAACGCAACCGTTGGATCCGTGATCACCTTTGACTTCAGCGGTGCACCCGGCAACCACACCGTTGCTCAATCCAGTTTCGCCTCCCCCTGTGCGCCTTTGGCGAGTGGCTTCGATTCGGGATACGTCTTCGTTCCGAATGGCACGACCACTGGCTTCCCTACATGGAATCTCACGATCACCGACACCAAGCGTACGTTGTGAATCTCAATGCACGTCTACTTCTGCTCATCGTATATGGCCTGCAGCAATCTGGTTCTACTGCGCACAACAGGGACCCCCTGCTCACTGCACTGCAGGCATGGTTGGGTTCGTGCATCGTTTTCATGTTTTTCTCTTTTCTCATACCGCTCGGCCGCATTTCCAGGGCTATCAATGCACCCGGCTCGGGCACCAACACCTTCGAGAACTTCCAATCCGCCGCTAAGGCCGCTGCCTCCGTCGTCGCTCCCAGCCCCGCATTGAGCGGTGTCGGGGCAGCGGCCACCACAGGTCCTGGTCCTCTCACTGGCGGCTTCAGCGGCTTCGATGGTCCCACCGGAACTGCTCCCGCCCCTTCCCTTTCATCGAGCACGACCTCTACCGGTAGTACGAGCTCCTCTGGCACGGGATCGGCATCTCCTGGTACCAGTTCAGTGGGCACGACCACTACATCCTCTGGCACGAGCTCAGCGGGCACGACCACATCCAAGAGCACGTCTACTAGCACCAGCCCGCCGAACAGCGCCTCTTCCGTCAGTGCAAATGGAGTTGTTGTCTTTGTCGCTGCTCTCTTCGGCATCGCGCTTCTTTAATATGGAGCACGCGTGGTCGGATTTTGGTGGCCGAAAATTCTCGGTGTTTAGTGGCAGGAGGTGGAATTGTTGATGAGGAACCGAGATCTCAGGCTCCCATGCTAAGGACAATTAGATGTTGCTTTTTTGGACTAGCATATGGCGCGGGGCGCGAACATTATCATCTAATTGGGACTTCAATCTTACCGCGAACTATTGGACTGTTGGTTGCATCTTGTCTGGACGGTAGCGTAAGTTGTGGTGATTGTATCACAGATCCTGTCGCAACAGATCCAAGTCGTTGTACTCAGTGGAGATATCAGAAAGAAGCTTAGACATAGTTTGCACTAAGCCAGTGCATGCCAGCGAAGTAGATGTGTCATCGCAGTGCGCTGGCTGCGTGTTCTCGGTGTGGGGTAAATTTGTACACGGAGCATCACGACCATTCTACTCGCTAAACCTCATATTGCTTAGAACCTCGCGCCTGGCCCACTCTCCCACCTCACATCGTTCGCGGCCTGCGATCGAGCGCCATATCAACAGGCGGCAGGTCAGCTCGTCCCACTCTGCGCATTTCTGTTCGGCGGTCATGCATACTCGCCAGAGCGACTCCACGCACTCGCCCCAGACTTCCACAGCCATGCGCTCCGAGATGTCAAACAGGCCCTGCGAGTAGTGCAGAGGCGGTGGTTTCGGGGAACATGTTAGAGATCGTGGGGCTTGCCCGGATGCCGGGATGACAACGTCACCCTCCAGCTCTTTGAGCCAGTGGAAACACCGCGTTACAAGCGCCGTAAGGTGAGCCACGGGAGAACCGGGAAGGAGACTTAGCCTCAATATCACCGGAACGGCAACGACGAATGTATTTTTGTTGCAAGCTAATCATGAGAAGTCGCACGTCAGCTCGCTGATGGTGTGAGACAAAGGATTGGCTTGCACGCACCGCCATGGTCCAGCAGCCTGCACAGACATCTACCAAGAACGGAGCGCCATTCGCCATTCGTGGATGCTTCCAACTTGGAGGGATTGGCGACGGCGAGGACATTCTCCAGAATGCGAATCCACGCGATGCTCTCTTCTGCTGTGGCCCTTTTGACTTGCATCTCTATCCATGATAATAGGGCATGCC